ATTTTCTGTCTATTCTATGTAGGAAGCAGAAATCACCACTAGGGGACAGTCTCTGTTTGCCAATGATGTAGTTATGGGTCATGCTGATCTGGAATGACTGTTGCCATCTGACATCAAGCAACTAGAATGAACCACTACAGATTGTTTTTGAAAAAATGTATAAAGTAACATAAGAGTTTTGCACCACACATGCACTGTTTACAGTAAAAATAAATCTGAATGCGAGGAACATATTTGAATATCACCATGGCTTATACCTTCACTGGATAAGGATCCAGATAGGATTTCTGCTCCTCTTCTGGAGGTCAAGAGTTTGATACAGAACTGGGAACTGAAATGAAAGCTTTCTAGGTCAATTATAGTCCTGCGTGACTGACCTTCCATCTTCAGTGCTGTGAGCACAAACCTGCTTGTGCATTGAGTCCTTGAGACTGCAAGTGTGTATGTGACACTGTTCAACTTATACGCATTAATTACTTATCGATATTTCAGAGTTGATTTTATTAAATGTTTTTGTTCCACTGAAGGTAACTGAGAAAAAAAGTAAAGGCTTTCTGATGGACCACAGGCTAATACCAGGCATGCAACTATAAGATAAAGTAGGGTACAACGGGGCTAAAGGCACCTTTGATATTATTTTCCTCTAAACCACGAGATGGGACAAAAACCGTGGTGTAGCACTTTCCAAAACATCCGCTTTTCAAGATGCACGTGTATATGTACTTATTAAAACGATTTTGTTTCTGTATTTTAAAATGTTTTTTATATTAACATATTTTAATGACAGTATATTTATTGAACAAAAATTAATTCTTTTATTTTTCAAAATAAGCAGAAAATAGTACAGACTTTGCTAAGGTATTAACTTAGACATTGTTAAAAAAAAAAACATTATTTTAGCTGAAGTATTTGGCCCCTCTTGCCCCCTCATACATTTATAAGATTTTTAAACAAAATAAATTACTTGATTCATTTTCACATAAAATCTGTTGCTCCATTAATGTTCAATACAACGTATATATATTTTCTGCAATTATACATTTTAGGTGCAGTGAGTGGCACATTTTTTCTTAAGGTGGGCCTTTAGCCCCGGTGTACCCTATATTTAGTATGGAACTGTCAAAAAAAAAAAAAGAAGAAGTATTCATGTTCAAACATAAAGATGCATATGGCTTATCATTATTCTGCTTATTCAGAAGTCTGCTATGCTCACAAAGGCTGTAGTTATTTACAATTTTAAAAAAAATCTAATGTAATTTATTCCTGTGACGACAAAGCTGAATTTTCAGCAGCTATTACTCCAGTCTTCAGTGTCACATGATCCTTTAGAATTCAGGAAACATTTATTTTTATTATCAATGTTGAAAACAAATTGTGCTGCTTAACACTGAACAAATAAAGTCACACCAGATATGATGGGTTACACATATACTGTCCTTATGCAGGCACTACATGCATCAAACTAATACTGTAACAACATCTGTGTGTCATCGCAGTATAAAATATCATTAAAGATATTCAGAAATGGAAAACACTTCAGATGATTATGGTTGTTGATCATATTTGAGAAGACAATATTAGAACAATCTACTACAAATGTTAAAAATCATGCTTCTGTAAATCAAATTAATAAAATATACTTATTATACACTTACTTGAAAGATATGAGAATCTACAGTGGTTATGTTTCATAATTCAGGTTTCTCCCTTCTTTTACTAAACGTCTTTAGTAATTTGAGGCTAGAGAGGAATCTTCGAGCAGCTGATGCTGGTTAGCTGTGGGCTACCATTTGAATTTCAATTTCAGGAGCATTCATTGCACACAGAGCCCTCTTACTCTCCTGACTGAACACAAGTGAATGAAGGGTGTTGACAAAGCTTTTACCAAGCTACTGGAATTTTAACGATGTGTCCCCACATGCTTTCTAATGATATTTCGCTCTGATGGCTTGCTCGTATTTTTCAGACACTTGACAAGGTAACCTGACTAAAAATTGTTGACATAAGTAGCAGAAACATGAAATCCTACAAAAGTAAGCCCTGGACCACCACCATGATGTGACATTTAAACAATCAATCATTTAAAACTGATTAAGGATGATTTAAAGAAATCTGAATAAACATACGAAAAGTATGGTAATAAATAAGAGTACATTTGGCACTAAAGATATTAGGAAAACATTCTAACGTCTTACAGTATCACATTAATTTCCAGCATTCTTACCTTATTGTTGGGTTTTGGTCCTGCTATTTCTATGATCTTTGTGATAATGTACACATAAGACTGCATAAAGATCAGGCCATTTAACAGAATTACAGTATTATACCTTTTATACCTCTATTATATTATATTATTTGCTTGGTTCAATTAAATATTTTTTTATTAATAAAAATATTTAAAGTAAAATTTTAACTGAACTTAACAGATCAGCATGCATTTTCATTTTTTAACGTACAATAATCAAGCAACTTTTGATTAAATAAAACTTTTTTTCTTTTTTTGAAAGCTACATTCCAAATTCACTTGGTTTAAAAATCCGAGGGGCATGTGCTCTTCATTTCAATATTGATATAAGATGTAGAGTTGCAAGGAATCTCTGGTTATTAATGCTGCAGCTACAAACAGGGACAACAAGGCCACATTCAGCCTGTTATGCCATGATCACTGTGTGGCTCTGGCCTGAGAGAGCCGCTGAGTGGGAATCGGTGGTAAATGTCATGTTAGCTCACAGCTGTAAGCGCTGGGCTTAAACTGCTGCATTAGAAAAGCATGAGTCAAAGGGATGGAGAAACTCACAGCCTTTGTGTTGCTGAGAGAGGCGTGCAGGGGAAATGATGACAGCCAATGAACCCCAACAACCATGTCGCAGCATCCCTCCAGCGGAGAGAGAGACAGCTCAAACATGGCTTGCTTTCATTGCCTAATCTTCTGCTCCGCTCCTGCCAGGGAAAGTGAGAAACAGAGATAGAGAGAGAGATAGAAAGGGTATTCATCAATGCCTCTTTTGTCAGGCATGATAGATGGAAATGAATGGAGGTGTTCATGCGGGGGTCTGATGTTATTAGTGTAACCAGGAAACAAAATGGAAAATTCAATTTACCTCCTCATTTTTATAGTCTTGGTTTTGCCCGGGGTGCCATTTTGTTTCAATCCAGGTCC